AGATAGCAGTGACAGAGTGCCTGTTACCTGTTCAGTGGCACCTTTGCTCCTTCCTGGCTCCAGCTGTCTCTGAGCTCTGCTGCTGTCAAAGACAGATTTGTGCTCCTGAAGATCCAACTGTTAAGAGCAGGAAGGAGCCATTGCTTTTGCAGAGGCAGTCATGCTTCTCTGAGGGACTGGAGGTCACAGTAGAAGGATCTCTTTGGTAGATGCTGAAAGCAGCCACATGCGGGTTTCCTCTTTTAATTTAAAATACCAGTGAACGTATGTCTCATTGCACACCTGAAAACTCATCCATGTGACATAAACTCACTGCTAACCAAGCTTCCTTGCTTCCACTGTTCATATAAATAGTCTTTGACAGCTGTGAGTGAACATCTGGACAAAGCAAAATAAGTGGGTAAAGCTCTGGTGGCCTGATGCAATATTTTAAGGAAACAACAGAGAGCTGTGTCCTGTCCACATCCCTGCACCTATGGCAATGGCCACTGAAAAAGTGACATTTCCCAGCAATGTCTTTTTTTAGTGCCTTTTCAGCCTGTGTTCACAGTTAGATCATATTAAAAAAAAACCACAAAAATTTGCTCTGAGTTACCCCAGGGTATCTTATAAATTTCTTAATCCCCAAGTAACACGCCTTTCTGCAGCATGTGTCAGCATGCACGCTTGTTTAATCTATACAGGGGGATGACAGATGAGAAGTAAGCACATGTGATGTGTATATGTAAACACACTCTTGTTGTAGTGTGAATGTGGTCTTTAGGAGAAGTTGTGTTTTGTTTAGCTATAATTTAATGTGCTTGTTGAAGAAAAATTGCCGGAAGACCTAAAGCAGTTCTTTCTGCATGAGAACATATGCATTGTTTCATTAAAGTGCTTTTTCAAAAGCAACTCTAAAAAAGTTTGCGGATTGGAGTGGCTTAACTTTAATCATCCCAGATGTTGGTTTTCATAGTCAGTTGTTGTTTGGGTTAGATATAAACACCTTTTGGTCAGAGAATGCAATGTTTCCAGCAGCAGAGGCAAATTTTTCTTGGACTAATGAGCATAGCTTAGCTATGCTTGAAATTGAGATTAGCCTACTTGAAATTGAAAAAGAAAAGAAAACTGATTTGGGGAGTTAAGTGCTGGAGAACAGTTTTCTGCTTTGCAGGGTGTTCTTTCCAAAGTTGCGGTTATAGTTAGTCAAAAAGCTTGCCACCAGCAGTGTTTGGAGTCCTGCAAATCCTGTTGGCTCAGTATTGACTCTAATTAATGACCCACATTCTCATAGATGCACTGAGGCCTTCTGTGATGTGGCTGTACCAGTGGAAAACAATGGAGCCATTTATTTCCAGCTGTATCTGTCACATGAATAAAGGACATGAAGTTGTACCACAGTGTGGTTGCTGTTGGCTTCAGCACAGAATCTGGGGATTTTTGCAGCCAAAAGAGTGTAATTTATAAGATTCAGAGATCTGATGACAACTGGTCAAGCTGTCTTCAAATGCAACGTTGGGCTTTTCTCTAGCACATTTGTGTCCATAAAGCCCAGTTGGCCAATTCTGGCTAGAACATCTACATAGTTTGAAAAAAAAACACTTCAAGGCCCCATGGTAGAACCCTGGAAATGGAATGGAATACAGCCTTTACTTTGTCCCACACTAATTAGTCTCTTTCAATGAAGCTGGCATATACCTCTGTTCTCTGAGGAAGCCACTCAAGCTGTATCTGTTGACTCTGCTTCCATCAGTGTGACAGTGGCTGTGTTGTTCCTTTTACCATGAGCTAAAAATGCTCAATAAGTCATCACCAAAGCTGTTGATGCTGTGATTGTGGACTGCTTCTGTTAAGCTCTTCTTGCACTAAGGTAACCCATCAGTTAGCCTCAGGCTCATTGCAGGCAGATTCCTTCAGCAAGCTTAGGCTGAACATGTGCTGATCTCCAGCAGTTATGCTGTTCCAGACAGTCAGCAACACCTATGTAACTGGTTTTGACTTACAGTGAAAACTAGGCAAATGTGTGATTCTGTGTGTCTATTGAGTAATCAAACTTCAATAAATGGGAACTTCCTTAGACCAGACTATGTGAGGAGAAGCTCACAGTACTGTTGATTTTATCTCTGATCAAGTGCTCTTGTCTGACTCTGTCATAATGGATAGAAGTAAGAATTGTGTCTGCTTTTGAAACAGCAAGATAATACACGTGTGTGTATTTGTGTGTATGTTCACATGCATCCACATTTAAATATATGAACAGACCTTTTCTAGAAACTGGGACACTCCTGCTGTGGTTCAGCCCAGAAGCATGTTCTGGAGGGTTTGCCAGCTCTGGCATATGGCTTTGGGTGGAGTTGTTTGTGCATTGTCCTGGCTTTGTTATAAGAACCAGAGTGATCCCATTGTTTGACTGGGATCTTGGTCAGAGGCAATTCTGAGCAAATGAAGAGTGATTTGGAGCATGTAGCATTTAGCCACTACTTTTTTTCCCCTTCTGTCTATTCAGTGTTTTATGAATGCTTAGCAGTCTTTGCACAGCCTCATTAAACAGTGCCTCCCTGGGCTGCAGTGGCCAGGAGTGCTGTTAGCAGTTCCAGCAGCAAGCGTGTCCATGTATCCTGTACCTGCCAAAGAGCCGCTGGACTTCAGATGAGCAAGGCAACCAAATCCTAGCACGATCATCAGAAACCTGTATTAAATTCCACAGACTTCTGTTACAGATCAGCAGGCTCAGGAATTTACTTGCGTGTGTTCCGTGCACCTTTTCAAATCCTTCCAGAAATGAACCTCTGCAGCTGTTGCCTGCAGCTGTTTGTAGTTTAGCCCTAATTCAGTAGTTCTGTACATACTGGAGAAACCAAAATGGTTTGCTGACTACAGAAAGGCTCTACAGCCAGAGGGAAGGACACTTATGCTGGACATATGCTATGCCACTGTGTAAATAAGCCAAACACAAGAAAAGTGTTGCTGACAGCTGATTTGTGATTTTTCTTGCCACAAGGATCTTGTGCTGCATGGAGTTGACTCTCCAGAGGAATCCTGTCATTGGAGCTTGTTGGGTTTTGTTGGAATAGCTCCATGTTCCCATAGTCCTCACCTTCTCTTTTGGGTGTTTGGGAGAGGGGACTGAGTTGTCCAGCCTCTCCTTCCTATCGCTTCCCTATCTCCTCTTTCCCCCTTCCCCCCACCCAGATTTCCAAAGAAAAATAACTGGTTGCTGCTTTTTGCTGTTGAAAGCTGTTTTTGGTTTCTGGCTTGATGTTGTTCCAGAAAGAGATCATGCCTTGAAAGCAAAATCATTTTAGTGAAACACTGATAGAGCGTGACAGTCAGTACAAGGGGGCAAAACTTGAAAGTTCTAAAGTATGGGGGAATTGAGTAGGGATGTGATAATGCAGTGTTGGTTGGGGGGATATCAAGCTGATGGTCCATATGCACAGATCTAATAACTGTTCAGTGTTAGTACTGTCAGGGCTTTAGTACTGACACAAAAGGAAAACCATCAGGCAGCCAATAGTAAATTCTTGTCAAAGGGTCTTTTAAGTTGTACTCAGCATTCAGATTGTGGGCACCATGGATTAAGTGTTAAGATCACACCATGTCCATGCATTTTCTGTGTCAACACCCCGTCCTTTTGGCAGCCCCTCTGAGATTCATAGAGATTTCTGATATAAAGACTAAATTGCACCAATGTTGCTTAAATACCTTCTCAAACCTGTGCTGGTAACAGTCTTGTACTGAGTATTGTTTACAATCAGAGATGTGCTCATACCCAGGGAGTCATTTGTGCATAAGTAGGAACTTTTGTACTTGGTGGTATGTGGTCCTCCTGGTTCCATGGCATCATTTCCCTCTCCTTCCTCTGCTGATGGTTGTCAAAAATCATGGGTTATATGTGGGACAAGTGGGCAGATGAAAAGAAACAAATACTTCTTTCCTGTTTTACACCAAGCAGTGATGAGAATGTCCTCCTGCAGCTTCCTGGGTCAAGAGGGACAGGAATAAGAACTCAGGGCATCTTGTTTGCAGGACCCCAGCCAAGTTGTAGAGGGGGTTGAGGAGTGAGAATTTCAGGACCTTCAAACTCTACGTCTTCTGTATAGAGTGGGCTTTCCCTTTATATCCATGTGACATCCGGGACAACTTCTGTACATGGTGCTTACATGGAAAAAAACCCTTCAGTCTCCAAACTGATAACTACCATCACACACATTTCGTGATGTACATATGTCTTTCTCCTCTCTGCTTGTGCAGCTTTTTATCAGGATGGTTGAGGGCTGAGATAAGAACTCGTTAGTCCACAAAAAAGTAACTCAGGCACATAAATTGTTGTTGAGAGCATGAGCATAATGCTGCTTCTCCCTGCATGCTTATGTTTTTCATCAAAGTCCAGCTCTGGAGAAAGCAAGAACTCCTCAGAGGGCTGAATGTCACACTCAGCTCAGAGAATTCACCCTGAAATTACTAATTTTTGGTACTTGATTGAATTGGGAAAATTTGCCACATGGAGAAAGGATTATCAAGAGTACATCAGACACTGAGAAATCCATATAAATCCATATATATATATATTCCCCACCATCTTAAAGTGCCAGATAGATCTGTTTCTACTAAGCTTATAGTAGTACTTGACTTGGAAGCATAGGATCATCTCTTAAAATGTATCGTGCATCAGCAAAGACTGAAATATCTTGCCTGGAAAAAACGTATCTAGCTTTTAGAGCAGGACTATTCTGTAGGTTGTGCTGATTATTGCTTTGTGCTGCATGACTGTGATTTTTGGCACGCAGTGTCACATACCAAATTCCCGAAATAAAATGCTACATGATATTCTAAGAGTTCTTAGGAAACTTTAAAAAGAGATTTGTCTGCTAAGTGGGTACCTCTTCTGGTGAAGCCAAATGATGCAGTGGGAATGGTATAAAAGGAGAAAACTTTAGTCAGCAGATAATTAGTCTTCCCTAAATTAGTGCAAGGAGGAAAAGAAAGAAAACCTTCCACCAGTCTTGTGTTTGTAGAAGTTGCCAGCAATCCTGCTTTGATTGTAAAGGGTTTACAGCTTTATGTTTGAATAGCTAAAACATCTGTTCAGTGACATTGTGAAATCCTCATGTTCAGAACCCCTGATAAGGGGGACTGCTGAGCGATTGGCTCATAGAGGCTCTACAGGCAGCGAGGGCTGTACGTACAGTGGTCACCGCTTGCCTTCCCTCCTCCTGGCCAGAGGAAAACATAGGAGACAGCTACAGTTTTACACATGATTTTCCTTTGAGAGGGAGAGAGCAGGAAGTGCCTAGGAAATGGTTCATGACAGAAACCTGGAGTTTTAAATAGGAGAGTGGAGGAGGAGAGCTCATGGGCACATTTTGTGAACAGTTGAAACACTGACACCACAGCAGCAGGGGAAAACCAGACTTCTGCGAGAGCAAGCACGCCACAAGCTACCCTGATGGAAGGAGAGACGGCACCCGAGGCCAGGAGAGGAGCCAGCAAAGCCACACGGATCGCCCTCGGTGTCTTTGTGAGCGGCACTGTTGTGCTTGGCACTGCGCTTTTCTTGGGTAAGTGAAAATGCTGGAACTAACCTGAATCCAACCCTCCCCAGCCTGTCTGCCTGGTGCCAGTGTTTGTGCTTCGCAACATGTTTTGGGGGAAATCTCAGTCTCCTCTTCCCCCATTTTGTGTTATTTGTCCTGAAGGGGATATGTGTCGGGAAAGGAGTTCTTCTTATGGGAATACTAGAGCTGGAAGATGCAATGTGAGCTCATGTAACTTTCTGAATGCTGAATTTAGATTTGGATACTCAGTTGAATGTGTTCTAGCTGGAATTGGGTTCTTTCACAGAATGTCCAGGAATGGGTAAGATTATGTGGATCAGTAACGCTGATTACAAAATCACAGGTTGAGGCCAATGTGGAGTAATATTCTATGTTTCCTGAAATTTAATCTGTAGTGCACACATTTCATGGAATCCTTTGGGTTTTCCTTCATTTGGTTTTCATCTAGGGCTTGACTAAAATTCCTGTAGAAAGCTTCAAATAGTGCTTATGTGTGCACATTTTTTAGATCTTTCTGTTCTTCTATGATGAATTGCTAAGTTGGCTTTGCAAAAATCATAAAGAGTGCATCTGGGATGAAATTAAAATGTTTTGATCAGATTTATAAGCTGTAACTAGAGGCAATAGAGAAGGAATTAGTTTTTCCTCTCCTGGATTTGGAATCCTATGTAGATTGGTTTTGTTGCAATATCAAATGAAAGCATATGCCTACACTTCTGAAATAATACAATTAGAAGTGTAAATGTAGCCAGAAACTCCAAGCAGAGAAGAGAAAGAAGTGGTGTATCCTGTAAGAACTTGCAGAGATGGATCTTCTTTTGGACTAATTGAGCCCAAAATGTCATTTCTTTAGACCAACACAGATTCCCCTAGGCTGGGGGAAACCTTGCCTCTAAGCATATCTTTTGCTTCCCTCCAATCCTTTATGATCTTGTTTGAAAGGTCTGTTTCGTTTATAATCACAACAAGAGGATGATGCCAGGTTTTCTATAGAATATTTAAAGCTCCAGGCTCACACTTGGTTAGTGTTTGTCTGCTCTAGAGCAAATTCTGCAACATTTGCAGGCAAGTGACTTCTGTGTGAGTGATCCCAGTCGATTAACTAAACTTTTTATAAATGTGAGCAGAATTGAATCTTCAATTTGTTAGTGCAAAATATTTTTTCTAGGTGGAAAAAAACCACAAAACATTTTCCACTTTGAGACTGCAGTATAAACACCAGGGAGTAATAATGGAGAGACCTTTTTTCTTTTTGTTTGCACTAGATTGTTTGTTTATTGCTTGTAAAAAGCAATAGACATTTACCACTGTAGCTTCTCGGGGATATAAGTGCTTTATCCATAGACTAGGTGTGAAAATCCAAGCAAATATATTAATTCTTACAAACAGCTTTCCAAGTGAGCTATGGTGTGTTCCATAGGGGGATTCAGTGTTAAAATTTTCATTGGCATATCTGCTAAGAAAATAAAAATGCTGGCCTTGGGTCAACCTAAATGTTTTTAGGATTTTTTTGGAAATTGCCTGAAATTTTCAACCAAAAGAATAAAGGGGAAAAAAATGTTAAATTGTTTTGGTCTAACATTTGGTCAGTTTGGTCAAAAAAGGTGTTCCCATGTTTCATTGTGACACTGTGTTTTGTTTGCAAGTTTGAGTTTAACTCTTTTTTTAGTTTTATTAGACTGTAGAAAAGGAGATAATTATTTCTTGTCATTTCAGGCACCTCAAGATGTTCTTTTTTCCTCAGTTTTCATTTAATCTTCAAAACTTGCTGTTTCTGGTACACTTGAAATCAATTTTCCAACCTGAGGAGTGAAACAGCCTTCTCCTTCTTCTCTTGTTTCTTCTTCTCAGAGTTCCTACACCTCTAAGAAGAATGTGGGAGAATCATGTGTTTTTATTTACTGTTCCTTGCTTGTACGGGCTGTGACTTCAGTGGGGAGCTACCAGGGAATCATTTGGCATCCCAAGGGCCCTGCCTGCTTTGCTGTTGTCAGTGGTGTGGGCTATGGCAGGGATGAGCCACCTCCTCCCTGGGAGCTGGAACCAGAGCAAAGGGAAGAAGATCACTCTCTGGTGCCCTTTGGTGAGAAGTCAGGAAGCTTTGAACTTCAGCTTGATAGCCTCTCTTCCTGACTTGGTAGCCCTCTGGGCTTCTCAGATTATAGGATTATTCACTTTATTTGCATCTGCACATTTGTATGTCTTTTCCTCTTCTTTTTTTTTTTTTTTTTTTTGAAACTAAATACAGTTGTATTTGCTTAAGAATCTGGAAACAGGTTTATAAAGGAAGAAGATGGGTCACTGAGGGTTATAACCAAAACTTTAGGTAATAATATAATGGTTAGTTCTCTTAACAACAAAAAGACAAGAGAACAAAACCAGACAAAGTTTTTTCAATCAAAATTAGCTGTTAATTAAAAGAAAAATGTTACTACCAATGTTTTGGGGTTTTTTTAATCAGTTCTAACGATAACATTGTAAGTGGAGCAAAACCAGCTGAAGTGGTGTTTTGCTTTTGTTTATAAATATCAAATCCATAAGGGCTGCTTCAGATTAAGAATGAAATGAGGTCTGGGATTTCCTCTCCTTTCTCTGCTTTGTTAAGACAAAACTCTAGCAAACTGTCAAGACCTGGACAGATTCTAGAAGCCTAAATTCAGAGTGAGGAAAAAGGTGAGTTGGGAGGAGTGTAACTCTTAGCTAATAGGGGCATTATTCATTATTTGTAGTTCATTATTTGTAATGTCCCAAAATCATGTTCTGGAGATCTCCATTTCTCTATTTTTTACTGTTCTTCAATATTCCAACTACAACCTTTGTATGCCTCATAATCTCATGTATTTCTTGGCTAATTTACAAAGGTGGTTAAGGTATTGTGTTTCACTGAACCAGTGCAAGCTTTGGTAAAGCTGTCCAGAATAGTTTTACATTCTCAGCTTCTAAGAAAGTTTGATTGAAATCCAACCATTTCTGTCATTAAAGCTGTGAGTTTGGAGGAGGTGAAACAGCTTTATATTCAATTCTAGCTTTAGGTTTTTTTATAATAAAATTTTCCTGGGCTGAAATACCATTTCACATTTTCCTGTCACTTTTGAACAATACATAACTACAGCAGAAATTGCTTTATAACTGTCAGCACTGCTAAAGTTACAGCACCATAATTGTTGGGTTTTTTTGTTTGGTGTTATCTGTTTTTTTTCATGGACTGTTATCAAGATAATGGATATAATGAGACATTTCTTTGTGCCTACTGAGCACATCTAGTGAGTCCTATTTCACCTGACCCTTGAGCTTCTCCATTCCTAATCCCAAGTATCAATTATCCACGTATTTGCTGCCTGACAGCAGTGTCTGAGATTAGCAATTCCTGTGCTTAACTTTCACTGGCAGTTGAAATACACATTTTTAAAAGATGAGCAAAATCAACTGACAATTTCATAGTTCTTCTCAGCAAGGTTTTTGGAAGCAAATTCAATTACAGTACTTTTGGGAGACAGTTCAGAGAGAAACGGGGCTGAGCCTTATAAACCGCAACCATCCTTGTGCCCATTACTATCTGCTTTATTCCAGGCTGGAATAAGGAGACACTGAATGCCTCCCCTCAGCGCTGGGCTGTGCTGGGCAGTGCAGTGCTGCTGCAGGGCACTGTGAGCCCCACAGCTTGGAGGAGCTGGGGAAGCCCTGCAGAGGGTGGCCAGTGAGCTCTCTGCTGCATTGCCAACTGCAAAAGGTGCAACTGGGTCTGGTGGAAGGTGTCTCTGCCCCACGGCAGGGGGTTGGAACTACAGGATATTTAATGTCCGACCCAAGCCATTCTATGATTCTGTGTTTGTAAGATCTCTGGAGGATGATACCAACAATGATGGGTTGCCTGTATCGTGTGGTGTTCACTGTCAGTGAGCAGGGCCGAAGTGATGCTGCTCCAGGCATTGTGCAAACTTACATGGAGATACACGCTTGCTCTGTGCTGCCTGTGAGCAAAGAGAGGTGAAGGAGAAAGCAGGCCCAGGAAGGGGAAATTATTTGTTATGAGCTGCAGTATTTACTTTAATATACATTCTAAGTGTTCTAAATCAATGTAGTCAGAGATGCACTGGGACCAGAGGTTGCCCTGACATTTGAATGATTGAGTACACAACATTTGGCTGCAATTGTCAAAAATCATTGCAAATGATCTCATTATGGTTTCCCATTTTGCAGTTAGCCAAGGTCTTATAAAGTTTCATCGGAAGCAACAGTACTGTTTGACTGCAGAATGCATTGAAGCTGGTAAGCACCAATTTTATCCTCTCAATTATATAATGATTATAGTATGTTAATGAGATATTTATGCCATTTAATTTTTTTTTCCCCCATTATACATTTTACTCAGAAAACTTAATTAATGAGAGGGAAAGAACAACAACCCCAAACTTCTTTAGAAGTCAAAGTCGCTTCAGTTCTGTTTATTTTTTACAGTTAAAATTCATGTTTTAATTTGGTCTAATGCCAGTCTCATGAGGTTAACTCAAAGTTTCCCTTAGGGTTTACATTTTTTTTAATAGGAAACAAAGTGTTGAGTGACTGGACCTTCAGGTGTATTTTTTTGCTTCCTTTGCAGTAGTCAGAAAACTAGCAAGTGAATTGTTAAGCACAGAGATGCTTTTGGGCCAGATGTGGCACACACTTTATATGGTTTAAATTAAAAGAGGGTAGATTCATACTAGTTACCCAGAAGAAATGTTTTATGATGAGGGTGATGAAACACTGGCACAGGTTGCCCATAGAAGTTGTGACCACCCCATTCCTGGAAATGTTCAAGGACAGGTGGATGGGGCTCTGAGCAACCTGATCTAATTGAAGATGTCCCTGATCATTGCAGAGGGTTGGACTCGGTGACCTTTAAATGCTCCTTCCAACTCAACTATTCTATGATTTGATGTTTAAGTACTCAAAAGCTACTGAGTCTCTCTTACCAGTTTGGCCTGCAAGAGAAACTGGTGGGGATGAATTCACAAAATGGAGCTGAAAATACTACAATTATCTTTTCCAATATATGGTAGATTAGAACTTTATTTGTTTTCTTGTGCAGTTATTCAGCTAAGGGTAAACAGTGCATAATTTCTGGAATGCTAATCACAATCTACTTAATATGTATTGCTACTAAATTCCTCAGGCAATTAATTCTATCATGGCAACAATAGAGAGAGCCTGTCTTCAGGTGTCTGGCTCCAGCAGTTCTTGTTCCTGTAGTGCTAAATTCAGTCATCGTTGCTGTATGGCTCTCAAGAAGATTCATTGTAGATATTTTGTCTTTTTTGTTGTTGTTGTTGTCTGTTTCCCATTAATCATCATTTCTGGACTGTAGCCTTGTGTAATTTTTTATTTAGGAAAAAGTGTTCCACAAAATCTAAGTGGTATCTTTTTTACAGCTGCTGGCATCCTGAGCAAGATAAATCAATCTGTAGATCCGTGTGAGAACTTCTATCGATTTGCATGTGATGGCTGGATATATAATAACCCTATTCCTGAAGATATGTCAAACTATGGTGTTTATCCTTGGCTGCGACACAATGTGGACCTCAAACTAAAGGGTAAATATGTCATTTCTGAAGGTATCTGATTGGCTTGTCACTGTAGCTTGTTAACCTGCTGGTTTTGAAATGACCAAAAGTCTGCACACTTCTGATCATTGGATCACATCCAACAGCCCAACTTGATGTTCTCTTTTAAGTATATTTTTGTTGTTTTTATTGAGACAGTGAATTATAAGAGAAACAGAAGTTGGGAGGAAGAATAGAACTGCTGGAAACTTTACCAGTTAAGAACTGAGGGGTGAAATGATACTCATTATACCAAAAAGGAAAGATGAGGGGTTTAAGTCTTTCCCTCTTGCAGTAGCTGGTTAGACCAGAGTGCAGGAACACAACACACACCTTTAAGAATGTCCCAGAATCAGACAATTGCCAACTCAGTACAGCAGTCTAACAGAGGCCAACAGCAGGAAACAATATAATAAGGCAAAACCAGAGTGATATTTTCCAGTAAACTTACCTAGCTCTTGGCAGAGGCAATTCCCAGACTTCCGGAGATGGAGGTTAGTTGGGTATTGGGTTTCCTTCACATTGCCATTCAGGCTGCCATTGGAGTACCTGAACTATCATCAGAGAAACAGAAGGATGCTTAAGAATGTGTTTCTGGAGGAAAAAATAGCCCCAGGGTGGAAATGTGTAGGAAGAGAGGTATTTTAATCTTCGTGTGACTTGAGTTTGTGCTATACTCTGCACTGCAGCCAACTCATCAGGAAGCCCTGCAGACCAACAGGGAAGAACGGATGGTGATTATTCTTAGGTAGGAAAAGCCAGCCAGATTCTTATAGTCTTTGCTAAAAGTGAATCATACAAAGGAATGGAGATGTGCAAGAGTTAATGTTGTTGGTGGTGTGCTTGAGCATTACACACCTAGAGCACATTTTTGACCTCTTAGTTGACATCAGAGCCTGCCCTGAGCTCACTACAGAACAGAGGTCAGTTTTAGGATGTTATGCTTAAATACAGGATTTCTTTTTCTTTTGGATTTTGTACGTGTGTGTGTAGGCATCAAAACCCTTCTCCACTTGCTTTCTTCAGTCATATCATATTCAATTTTCACATCATTAAATATTTTAAAAGCTGCATTTGGTTTCCGAATAGGGGTTTGGATTGTCAGGGTAGGATATGATCTCAAGATTTCTGTTTAAAGTCTGCTAAAGATGTCACAACCAAAGGGAAAGAAATATTGCCAGAGCCTGTTTTAAGTTATGCTTTGCATTCTAATTGTTCTGCTGCCAGAATTGGGCTGTATTAGATAACTGCACATCCTGCGTGAACCACAGCCACAAAAAGCCAGTCCTAATTGAATATAGAGTAGCAAACTGTGACTGTCATCCTTAATTTCCTCTTTTACAGAGCCTAATCAAGGACATCATGCTAAGCCACATTTTTATTTGGTTTTCTTTCTGAAGCCCTTTAGAAGTTGTTAATCCATAGGTAGAAAAACACAAGACAAAAAAGAAAAACCAAGTGCCAAGTATTTGCTTAATGGAAACTTCATATCAAAAAAATAGTGTGTAACTATTTTAATAGGAGGCCTAAACTGCTCCTTAGCATGAAACAGAGACAAAGATATTGAAATGTTGGTTGGTGTACAGCAGGTTTTTTTAATACAACATTTGCCATCTCCTCCTTAACTTAATAAACTTTTCAAAATATATTCCTTGTAATTAAAAAAGGAAAAGGGAAAAAAAGTGTTGGATATCAGTGTTGGCAGCTGAAATAACATGGCATAGTTTCAACCTCTATGTATATTTGTGTTTTCACTTGAGTTATTTCAATAAATTATCTCAACACTGAGTTATTAATTTGTGTATGACCATCAACTTGCTAGAAGAAGTTTTAGCAAGAGGAATAACTCTTGCATAGAGAAACAGTTATATGTCTGACCAGACCTTGGAAGCCAATTTAATCTTTTCCTCTTCAAGAACTCTTAGTGGAACTTTGTACTTCATCGTAAATGTCCCTATTTGACACTCAGTAGATTAAAAAAGCCCCAGTCTTTAAAGAGCTGATTATTACGCAAGTTCTATGTTCTGAAATATTTGTCATATTAAAGAAAACAATTAATCTTGAAGTGATAACATGGCTCGGCCAGAAAGCCACATTTTTCATATTTGATATTCTTTGATGGTGTGATATAGATGGAAGCTTTTATTCAGGTTATATATTAAAAAATGATGTTACTTATAATAATTTATTTGAACATCTAATCTGTTTTCTGGTCCCTGAATGTTCCTAAGCCTGTTCCTGTTCCTGAGAAAGGGAGTTTGGGCAAAGACCTTTGGCCTTGGTTACACAAGCATATCTTGAATATTCTTGAAGCTTAATATTTTTTTGCTACAGAAGAAGATCTTCCAGTTGATAATGGGTATCATGTGTAAGAATTAATTTTTTCTTACCAAAAAAAGGTAGATGTAACTGTATAACATGCTAAACCTTGCATTAGGTATTACTGGGTTTGAGAACAAAGAATTTTTTTTCCTATTTCTTTTGGGGCTTTGGGTTTGGGGTTTTTTTTTTTTAGGTTATAGGAACAGAAGAGCATTTGACTTTGCAGGTGTCAGCTTCAAAAAGGTGTAGAACATTTACTGTATTGGTGAAGGTCTATGTTGCTCTAATAGGGAATTCCAAAGAGTCGAATGGCAATGCGTCAATGGAAAAGAGCTAAGAACTACTGGATGGTAATTGTGCATATCTTTGGTTGATTGAAGGAATAGGATAAGAAACATTTATTTCAGGATTTTTCTAGATCTGTGAAACTTAATACAATAGTTAAAAATATTTTTTTAAAGATTTGGGATTAAAATGGGCTAAGAATATATATATATATATAGTGCTCCCATGGCTTTCTCTAGCTGTATTAGGATGGATTCAAACTAAAACCATATCATCATTTCCCCTTTAATTTCTTTTCCGTGCTTTGTGTGAGGGTCACTTGGATTTCTTTTTCTGCTCTCAGAGGAATCCACAAACCACATGTGTAACTCACTTTGATCTCCTGGCTATATAAAATTAATAAAGTCCTATCCTGGCAAAAGTAATGTTAGATCTTTCCTTGGACGTGACCTACAGCAGGATTTCATGTTTTGTGGAGGAAGGTAAAGGAGATAATTTTAGATAGACAGAAATATATCAAAAGCAGAGACTTATGATTTGGTTATGACCCAAATGCAGGTAATGGATATGTAATATTTAGGTTAAATTTTTTGATTCCTTATAGAACTGTCCTGGAGAGGACTGAGGTACTCTTGGAGCCCTTCAAAATGGAAAAGAAAATGGTTTGCCTGTGGCATGTGTTGTATGAATGAGAGTGATCTCAAACTGCAACAGTTTCAGTCAGGTCAAGATTGCAGTGTCTCTGTGAGTTAATAAATGTTTCTTCACTTACTCTAATACTTTCTGCAAAGCTATTTGTGTTCTTGATGAATTTTTCTGTTTTGATTTGCTGACCTCAATTAAGATTTTTGGGAGTGCTATTGTCTTACTGTTGATATGGAAGTGGCTTTCTGTGGATAATTCAGAGCTGGAAGTCTGAGGCAAGTAAATAAGTACCTATTACCTGTGATGAATGTTGGTTATGAACCAAGCAGTTTCTTTTCCTTTCTCTGAAGTCTGCAGAACAATGGTGTACAGCTGGGTTATTATTTTTTTTTCTCCGAGTGACCATGCAGGAAGCAATAAATTAAAAAAGCAACAACAACAACAATACATAACAACATAAACATTCCTAAATCTCAACACTGCAATGGAGCTGATTTTAATTATGCGAATCATTTGTTAACGTGTCTTCCAGGCCTTTTAAATTTAATTTATGTCTGTGGAAACCAGTTTACAAATTAAGTCTCCATACTATTCCTGGCCCAGTGAGAAACCTACTTCAGACTGATTTGCTGTGCTAAGCTTTGTAGCATGTTTGTTTTCTGAATGTCAGTCTGCTTAAAATGAGGAATTTCTATCACAGCAAAGAGAAAGAAATGGAGGCCTTTTAGCAGGATATAGCGTGTGGGTTTTTTAAGAACATGAGACAGACAGCAAACAAAATAACTTGGCAGTATAGGCAACTTTTCCCAATATAATCTGCAATGGTTTTCTTTGGGAAATGAATTCTTTATAAGTAAAACCAGTAAGGTAAGAATATCTCAGTTTGGAAATTTCTAGTGTTTATCTATAGGGTGGTCCTTTCAGACTAACCCCAGAAGTAGGTGTGGAGCAGTTGCTGTTGAGTGATTCTGTCCTAGACAGAGGACCCTGTGCTGCAGGGCTCTTTTAGGGCTGTTTTCTCTTCTCCCACAATCCAGCTGGTGCTAAGCTGGGCCCACTGGAATAGCTTGGATGTGTCCCATGAAATCTGTAAGGTAGCTGCTGGCACTCATCCTCAGGTTTCTGTATTTGCTGATCTGTCTTTTGTGATTTGTTTACTTCAGAGGTAGCTAGTTGAGAGCTGTCCCAAGTAAGAGAGAGAATACCAGCAGTAATTAAAATAAAGTCTTCAGAGCGTATTTATGTTTTTGTCTCCAGTATCTTATTGGATACCTGCTCCTGGATAACAAGATAGCAGCAAACAGCAACAGCATTTAATGCTGTTTTGCTTGGATTTTTCTGCTATAAATGGATCCCTTTTCAATTGTACAGACTTCTTTTTTTTTCACTGGTTCAGATCTTTCCTACAATGGCCTATTCATCTGAATGTGAGAAAAAAATAAGTGGCACAAGTCAGGTAAATCTCTCTGGGCAAGGAGCTGTTTGGTAAAATAAAGTACCTAAGTCAAAGATGGAGAAGCCGCGACTTTTCCAGGCTTTGTGGTTGCTGAAAATGAAAGTTGTATTTGTAATGGGTGATTTTGGGAAACCATGAATACAGAAAGGAGATAATTTTGGTTCTTAAATGAGGTTTTAAGGCAGCACAGTAACTGAGCCGCAGGATTCCCACAGCATCTCCCTGACTGGGACACTAGAATGGCATCCTCCTCCGAGCCCTGGGCTACAACCAGAGAGGGGCA